TAAAGTTTCGATTACAAGCATCCAAGCTTTAATGATCTTGACATATCTGTTAAAACTGGACACAGAGTATATGTACTAAATTTTTGTAAGAAATGTGTCACATGGTCTGTGGCTCCTGAGTTAATGACCAAAGAACTCGTAATAGGCTTAACCGAGACATTTAATCTATGAGAATCAGAAGCTTTACTTGAACTAGAGACATTACCCAAGGAACATACCCTAATAGGCTTTTTAAGGGTTTTCAATAGGCTTCTCAGCTTTTCAATCTCTTCTTTTTTCAACTCTCTTTGTTTTTGAGATATCTACATTACTCTAATGATTTTTTCAATTGACACTTCTTCAAATTGGGTGATAATGATGTCTTTCTTTGAATTGAAACAAGTTTTCGATATAACCAGAAATGACTTTCTAGCAATGAAAGCTAAATAAGGTAAAAATAAAATGGCTATGAAGGCCTTAATAAGGTTTGGCAGTGAAGGCCTAAAATAAAAGTTAGCAATGAAGGCCGAAAATTTTACTTCCCAAGAAGAGCCTAAAGCTTTGATATCATGTGAAAAAATGGAAAAATAAAACTGTATGAAAAAATAAGAGTAAAACTGAATGTATTTTGAAAAACTGCTCATCAAGAATTATACAAGTATCTTAGATTTATATACAACTAACTAGTAGTTAAACTAAGAAATTAAATCTTCCTAAAAACTAATCCCATAATTGAGAGATTGTCTATCCTAATTTTTTGTCTTTAATTTTAGGTATACAAATACTTAATTCTAAAAATAAAAATAAAAATATATAAATTTTAAAATTACAACCAACTATAAATAAATGTTTTTCCACACTGTGTGCTATAGAAAAGGGGCCTCTAACACTGTATTGATGTAATGTCCAAGAAATCGAAGATGATTGAGGCTGTATTATTAGCCATTACTTCAGTAAACACTGATATGTTAGCAAGAATTCAAGAGTCTTGACTTTAGATTCAGGGCTGCAAAAGTTGATTGAGACACTGACCACATCAGCTGTGTCCGGTTCCAAATTTACTTGGTTTGGTGGACAATTGAGGAGAAAGGGAAAATTGGTGGTGGGAAATGTTGTGGGGCTAGACAAAAGTTGCTGCAGTATTTTCATAATAGTCCAATGAGGGTTCAAGCAACAATAAAAAGAGTTTCCAATGTTTTGTACTGGAAGGGCATGAAGAAAGAGGATAGAAGAATGGTAAAGGAGAGCGAGGTTTGTCAAAAGCATAAGTATGACAATGCAGCTACACCAAGATTATTACAGCTTCTACCAATACCCGAAAGGGTCTGGATTTTATAGAAGGTTTACCTAAGTCTAGAGGTAAAGATACTATCTTGGTGGTAGTTGATAGGCTAAGCAAACATGCTCATTTCCTAGCCCTGTCACATTCTTTTACAGCTTTGACTGTAGCTTAGCTCTTCATGGATCAAGTATACAGCTTACATGGTATGCCAAACACGATAGTGTCCGATAAAGATAGAATTTTCATAAGCCACTTCTGGCAAGAACTCTTTAAGAGGCAGGGTACCTTCTTGAATGTATCTACAGTTTACCATCCTCAATCAGATGGGTAGACCGAGGTGGTGAATAGGTGTCTGGAATTATACCTTAGATGCATGACAAGTTCACATTCCTTATTTAGTTGGTGACTCCGTGGTGGACAATTTGGATTGGAGTCTAAGAGCTCGAGAGGCTGCCTTTAAAATGCTCAAACTTTACTTGGAAAGGGCTCATGTCAGGATGAAGATTATGGCCGACCAGAGAAGAAGTGATAGAGTGTTTGAGTTGGGAGACTGGGTGTATGTGAAGCTTCAACCCTATAGACAGCAATTTATTGTCAATAGAAGCTGTCTCAGGTTAGTAGCAAAATATTTTGGACCTTATCAGATTTTGGAAAAAGTTGGGAAGGCGGCATACAGACTAGACTCCAAGGTCCAAGATACATCCTACGTTCCATGTCTCACAATTGAAGGGACATGTTGGCAAGCACCCTACACAGCAACAGCTACTAGTGGTGGGGGAAGATGGAACCATTGCAAACGAACCCTTGCAGATCATAAACAAGAGGCTGGGGAAAAAAGGAATGAGGCTGTTACGGAGGTGCTGGTGCACTGGAAAAATTCCTTTCCTGAAGATGCAACGTGGGAGGTTTTTTATGAGTTGCAGAACAAGTATCCAGATTTTCTCCTTGAGGACAAGGATTTCTGTACCAGGGAAGTATTGATGCAAGTTTTACATAAGTTGTTACAGTAGTTATTTGGCTATACTCATGTATGCAACCCATTAGTGGCAATTATGTCATTTCATTCATAATTCTGTTATAGGGAATTAGTTTAAGAAATGAAAACAAATTTCTGGAAACTTCTTTCCTTTTCTTGGTTATTTTCTTTCTTGATCAATTTTGTTCTTGTTCTTGATTCAATTGCTTTAGTTAATTGATTGAATCCAGAAGGTTGTAATACTCTCTCTTATTAGAAGAGAGGTTCCATCGAAAATCTTAGAATGAACAAAATAGAACATTTAAGAAGCAAAAACGTATCAAGAAATTCTACAGATCATCTCTGTAACAGGATGGACATCCCAATACAGTGGTGAACAATTAGCACATGAATAGCATTTTTGGGTTTTTATCAAGCATGAACCCTAGACGGCGGTTCCTGACAAGGGTTAATTTATCAAAATATCCTTACATATTTTATTGGCTTTGGACCTGGGCTCATTCGTTTAACAAGGCAATTGGAGTTGTGCATGGGCTTTTCTGTTTCACTGGGCTACTAGAGTTTGGAGCATGGGTTCATTCGTTTGAATAAGAACTAGAGCGTGGGCAAGGGTTACGGGCTCTCAATTGGCTGTAGATCCGCAGGACAAATTGGGTTTTCTTGTCCAAACGATTATGTTAATTGGTGAGGGTTCACCATGCAAATACGTATCAAACCGAATTTGATTTATTATGTGCTTTATCCGTTTGAGGATAATCAGAATTTACATATTTCTGATTTTATTTCTGTCGTAGGCCTATAAACTTTTCGTTTGAGTAACTGAAGCACATAGATTCTAATCAACTAGAGTTTGAGAACTGAAGCACATAGATTCTAATCAACTAGAGTTTGAGAAATAGTATTACTGATGTTCTGCTTCCAGATTCTACCTGACCAGGGGCAGAGAAACAATGTTGGGAGAGGAAACTATAGGATGATGATGATGTCCAACTCCTTCTGGGAGATGACAGACACTCTAACTAGGCTTAGAGGTTATAGATTGATATACTATAATAATAATTGACATTATTTTAGTTCAACAAGAAACGTGTACTAGTTATTATGACATTTTAATACATATGGCAATGCAAAAAAAAAAAAACACTTAGGTCGGTGGAACTGTATTCAAATCCTGCTTCGGGATTTTACGTTGTGAATGGTCCTCAATTCTGTTCAATTACTTACTTTTAAGACAGCCTGAAACATATTCTCTCTACTATTCATTCATGAGTGGTATATCTTAAGCTATCTTATCTTATGTAACTTTGTTCTGCAGCAACCTTGGTGTTCCAAGGAGAACAGTATTTTTCCTTATAAAAGCGGGATAAAACATTGTTTGTTAACAGACGGTGTTAGGTTGTTGTGACTTACTATTTGTTTAGCTACTGTATAGCTGTCTCTGTTATGAAATCGGAAGAATTCTAATTCGGATTGGCTGTTTTTCTCTACATCCATAAATATTAGTCAGTTAGCATCAGGGTCCTGTCTGGACTAAATTTTTTAGTGCTGGGCTATTGCAGAGGTAAGTTGGAAACTGTGACATGTTTATTTTACTTGAATGCCTTCGTTGGATCTTTCCTATCATCAACTGTTGAAGATCTCTTTGCTGGGATATTTTTATGCATTTGTTTTACTTTCTTTCTTTCTTTCTTTCTTCAGTCTGTTTAGGAAAGTTCCTTTGCATTCACATTGCAATCTGTTTTAATGGGCTTATGTACTCATCGTCAACTTTCCATACCAAGTTTTAGCACAGCTTGGCAGTTAAAAAGAGAGTGGTAGCTTTTGGCGACTGTGACTTTCAAGTTGGCCTTTTGATTCTCCTTGTTGCCTTTCATTTATTTTTAGTGGATAAGTGCCTTGGTCACTTTCTCATTCAATTGTTTAGTTTATTCCATTTTTACTTGGATTGTAGGTAAGTTGTATGTTAAAGGGGTTTTGCAGTTATGCTACTTTCAGTTTCTAACGGGGAAATCTATTAGTAATTTAGTGTCATATAACAATGTTTAAAGCAGACCATTAGAGTCAAAGAATTGAACTATATTAACATAAAGCTGTGAGAAGAATGAAAAGGAAATTTATTATAATTAATGGACACTGAAAAATATGCCAGTATCTGTGTCCAATATTCGAGGTGGCAGGAAGAAGGAAGTAGTGGTTAGTTTTCAATCGAAAAGTTTTATGATAATACGTGCTCCTATGGTATTAAATTTAGATTACTTTATTGTGATCTTGCTTAGAACTTTCCTATCATTGGGTTTAGTGGATTCTATCAGTTTTCCACTTGAAGGAAGTTGAATTTTGTGTGGATATTAGAAGGTCTAACCTGATTAGCACACTTTGGATTATGATCAAAAGAACATATTAAACATTGGCTGACGGAAAGGTGATAAAAAGCTTGGTTGAAATTGTTAGGGGCATATAATGGTTAAAAAGTGTATGGTGATTTTTTTTTTTTTCAAAATCTTCATTAGATAATCATAATATTTTTGTCATTTGTATTAATTTGATATGTTAGTGTCATCTCAGTTCGATTATATTCTAATTATCCTCTGTTATCTCTCTCAATTTACATATAAATACAAAGACTTAGACACTATAAAACCATATTAGTCTCGTTCATCTCTTTCTCTCCTCCTTACTTTCTCACTTTCTTTTCAATATGATCCTTTCCTCTTTCTCTCTTCCTTACTTTTTCATTTTTTTTAACTTACTTTTTCATTTTTTTTTAACTTGATTTTTATTGACTTTCACGTCGAGTACAAGAACAGAAAATACTCTCTACCTTTGACTCTAACGATCTTTTTCTTCAGCATTTATAGGAACACCGTCAGATCATCCTTCTTTTTCCCGCTAAAAGTGGAGAGATGATATATGTGCTTTTTGCTTGACAGAATTTGCTCATAAAGAGCTCTTAGCTATGGTCAACTCAGCTTTCTTCTTTTAATTCGTTCCCCACCTTCTCGAAACAGGGTTATTTAAGTGCTGGAAATCTGATAGAAGCAATGTTTTTCTTTCTCCCATATAATCACTACATTAACCATCAGGAAATGGGGAACAGCAAATTGTTGCGTTCAAAGGAGAACCCAACCCAACAGCACAAAGTAGTTAAAACAGGAAGACAGAATTGAGACAAAGTGTTATTAAAGCCTAATGAAGCCAAAACAGAATCTTAAGGACAATTTCATATCACATTATTTGGTCACTTTCTAAAACAGAAACATCTTATTAAAAGCACAGCCACTGCGCAATAGGCTTCATATATAACAGAGGAACTTTTACTCCTGGATATCAATAGACTCACTAATTTCAGAACTATAACAGAATTGATCCGTCAGCAGACTAATAAACTTATTAACAGAAACACACTACTAAGCCCATTTCCCATCAGGACTCAAACAGTTGCAATAGGATCCAAGTTTACCGTGGACTCCATGGTCCTCATGGCTTCGAACCTTGGCTCCTTGGACTGGAACTTGAGACCAGCATAGAGCTTCATGTAGTCCTCGAACACAAATTTGGGGTACACTTGGGATTTCTCAGCTTCTTTCTCTAGCAAAGCTGGTGCTGGATATATAACAGCATCACTACCCGGATTGTAAAAGGAAGCAATAGACATTCTGGTACCATCTGTTTGAGCGATCACACGGTGCATCACACTCTTATACTTGCCATTGGTGATCACCTGTATCAATCAGAGAAAAGAGTCAACAAGAAAATCATGGAATCATCCTTGACATAAGTAGTTCGCAGCTAGAAATAGTCTAGCTTGGAATAGTTTTTGTTTTCCGTTTCCGTAGGCTTTGTGCTTTATAATAATAATGGCAAAAATATTCTATATTCCTTACGTAGCAAAGTAGCCATTTTATAATTACCAAACATCCTAGTGCTGAATCTAATATATTTCCGTATCTCTAACTAGAATCACTTTAGTTTGAGTGAAATTTAAACTTTTAGCGCTAAAACAAAAAAAGTTGAGTGCTGGAATACCTCAAGTTGGTCACCAAGGTTGATCACGATGAAGTGTTTCATTGGAGGAACATCGATCCACTGGTCATCCTTGAGGAGCTGAAGGCCGCTGACCTTGTCATCTTGGAACAATAAGATGATTCCTCCAGCGTCAGTGTGAGCCCTGAGGCCCTTGATTAAGTCTGGTTTGGGGCATGGAGGGTAGTTGCTGACCTTGGTCCCAAAGGTTGGCCCTTTGGACCCGTGAAAGACTTTTTTCAGGTACCCCTTTTCCAACCCCAGATTCTCACACAACAAGTCTAAAAGTTGCTCTGCCAGCTTCTCCAACTTCACTGCAAATTCCTTCATCACCTTTCTGTTATCAAAAAGAGCTATTTTAACACATAAAGCCATTTTTCATCACTGCCAATACTTAAAAAGAAAGTGAAAACGTCTCTAACTTTGACCTGTAATCTTCTTCAAGATCAGGAATTTCGGATATGTTTGATTCAGGTAAGTGGCGTAAGAAGAAGGTGCTTTCCCAATCCAAGTCATTGATCTCAGATTGAACAGCCTCAAGACCCTTACTGGCCACCATTTCTTTGAACCTTTGCTCCATGCACTTTCTGTAGTGCTCCTTAGTCAGCCTCTCCACAGTATCCATCAACTCAAGAGATATTCCATGGTTCATCAGCTTTTCAAGAAAAGAGTAAATACAATGAAGGGTTAGGAGCATTATAAGCAATTAATGAACGGAGTAAAAGTTCTAGACTATAGATTGTTTCATCTAGTATAAAACACACATTTCAGAGCTTTTAGTACCTCAAAGAAACCCCAATTCTCACAGGCATCTTTCATTATGTCCATGGTGGCTCCTCTCTCCTCACCATTGAGTTTGGAGAAATCAATAACAGGGAAAGTAATCTCCATTGTTTCTTCCGAGCTCTCACTATTCTTTTCTTAATGTGTTTATGTTCGTCTCAAGGTGTGTCGAATGGGATTATGCGGAGTTGCAATTTATAGGCATAGAATGAGGTGCAAAACGGGGGAAAATAAAAAAAAAAAAAAAAAAAAGTTGAAAGAATGGGCAACTTGGAACTTAAAGAGATTAAACATAAAAAAATGTTAAAGAATCCAAAACTGCCTTGGTGAGAAAAAAAAAAAAAGAAAGAGTACACGTGGCGCATGCGTAAGTAACATCTTGTTGGACCCCTACCATCCTTTTTGTTGAAGCGACAGCCATGATCCAGTGATCTCTGATCTGTGACGTTCTTTAAGTTTATCTAAACTTTCTTTTCTTGGGTGGGTAGAGGACTCGCCCTGGTAACCTGTTCATGTCTTGCTTTCTCTGGAGTACTTGACCAAATCTCGACTGGGTGCTTCCTACTTTTTCCCATGGACGCATGCACCATTTTGTTCCATGTTGAGATCATGAGAATTTTGATATTATTTGTTAGATAAAAAAAATTTTAATTCAAAATTATAATCTAACGATTAATTAATTATATTAAAAATAATAATTTAACCTGATTTAATTCAATTAATCATATTTAAGAATAAAAAAATATTTTATTAGTTGTAGATAATTATAAATATGTCTCATATCAATAACTTAACAATTAATATCATGAATCCTTTCAATATCTTATAATCCTATAAAATATTCTTAACTTAGATAAATATATATACATATGCACCTAATATTTATGTGGCTATCTCATATTCCTTTAGTCCACTTAAATATATATATATATATCTATAAATACATCAATTTTCTCGTAGTCATATGAGAAATTTATTTCATAAAATCTTATAACTCTTATATCTTTTTTTATACTTAACTTTATAAAAACTTTACATATTTATAAGTATACTAACTTGTCTATCAAAAATCTTTTTCCTCTTAAAATTTTTTTCATGCAAGTCTTCTTATCTATCAAATAATATTTAATCAATTTCAAACAAATCTTTTATGAAATTTGAGTTACCATTCTTAACAATTTTCACATTGACTTAAATTCTATCAAATCATCAGTCTTCATGTTTGACATACTTAGCTCCATTTACAATGAAAATCTCATAATAATCTTCTCTTGTATCTTCATACTTCAACCAAATCGATCTATTAAAATATGAACTCAAACTCTTCCCTTAAATTAAGTTCTTCTAGACTTATCTCTTCCTACGTATCGAATCTTTAACTCTGATATCGCTTGTTAGGATCATAACAGCTCTGATAAAACTTATTAGATAAACAAACCTCAAATCCAATCAAACCAACAAAAGATCAATCACACAAAATATAATAATTTAACATGGTTTTACATAATCGACATACGTATACAAATAAGAAAAAACATTCACTAATTATAGAGAATTATAAATATATATCATATCAATAATTCAATAATTAATACCCATAAACCCTTTCAATATCTTCTAATTTTATATAGTATTCTCAACTTAAATAAACACATATTCATATGCACATATACTTATATTGACCATCTCATTCTTCTCTAGTTCATTCAGATATACACATCCATAAATACGTCAATCTCCCATAGTTCTTTGTAGTGTCTATCTCATAAAACTCTACAATTTTTTTATATTTTTTTATTATAGCTAACTCTACAGAGATTTTATCTATTTATAAGTATACTAACTTACCTATTAAAAATCTTTTGCTATTAGAATTCTTTAACGTGATTCGATCCAATCGACTTATGTCTATAGATGAGAAAAAAATTTACTAGCCGTAAAGAATTATAAACTATATTATATAAATAACTCAATAATTAATATTCATAGATTATTTCAATATCTTCTAGTCCTATAGAATATTCTCAACTCAAATAAACACATATCTATATGTACTTATATCTATATGGACTATTTCATTCTTCTCTAATCCACTCAAACGTACACATCCATAAAAACATCAATTTTTTGTACTCTTATGGGATATCTATTTTATAAAATTCTACAACTTTCTTATATCTTTTATCATATTTAATCTTATGAAGACTTCACCTATTTATAAATACACTAATTTACCTATCAAGAATCTGTTTTCTCTTAAAATTTATAAGAGAAAAATTTTTCTCTTATAAATTTTTTTATCTATTAAATAATATATAATCAATTTCAAATAAATTTTTTATAGAATTTGAGTTACTATTTAAAATGCTACAAGCTGGCATGAATATTGATCAAATGCTAAAAAATTGGACCAAAAATAATAAAATGGGCATCTCTAAAAGGCAATACAATCTACTTTCTTAGTTGCAAATTCTATTAGACATGGACATGATTTAATAAGCATTAGCTTTTTCCACAGTTAAGGTTATATCCTGAATAAATTACTTTCATCTTCATCAAGTTGCCATACGTACCAAAATATATAAAAAGCAGCCGACATATTGAAAACCTACAAAGAGAGGAAGACGCCCCCACGTACCAAGCCGCGGGCATCAATCCCTGGTGATATTTATGTTACAATAAATATGGAATAGATACTACTAGTATAATACTGTAGCTTTTTATTTTATAAAGGTTACTGATGTGACTCCGCATACCATACATTAAGCCAACTATCCTGATCTTTGATTTTCCGAATCGTAGTTGTATCATAATCTTTCCTGTGGTTCTTTTCAGCTAAATAAAAAAATTCCTACACTTTCCCTCTTTTTTTTTATAACTAAAAGTTATATTTATCCAATAAACCTTGCTACAAAGGGAAAACAATCTGCTGTAAAATAGAAACAGAAAAAAGTATAAAGCTATTTACAAGGAAAGAATTAACAAGAAAAAAAAAAAAAAACCATGTATAATGTGCCAGCCCTGAGCCTCTGACATAGATCAATGATAACTTGATCTAGCAATATTTTTTTGACTTCCAAACTTCCATCTAATTGTTTCAGCAATGTTTGTCAAGGCAGCCACTCGCAAAAGAATTGCAAGTACTTCTTGACCCAATGAAATTCAACATGCCACTTCTTGACACTTTCTCATATTAATACTAAATGAAAAGGGAATGGTAACATAATCAAGATTTTCATTCAAAATTTTAATTTGATTAGATAATAAATTATTATACATATCTTATTTTTAATATGGTTATCAATTTATATTAATATTTTACTATTAATTCAGGTATTTTTCTTATGTGCATGCACGAGTAAAAAGAGATCATAATTACCCGGTCCATTCCCTACGTTTGGTCTTCTAAACGAATCAAATGGGAATGGGAAAGTAACAAAAAGAAATGATGATAATTAGCTCAAATGCTCTCATCAAGTTGCTCCTACACTTGAGTATCTTCGTGTCTGGTTCTCTTCGTTAATCATGTTTTCCTTTTCTCTCCTTAATTATGGGAATAACATCAATAATTTCAATCAAGTTAAAACAAAAGCAAGCTCGCATGCCATAAAAGAAAGAAATGGAGCAGGTCGGCAGGCAGGCAAGAGAGAAAAAGAGGGAAAAAGGTAAATTTTGTAAGAAAGATGGACCTTCTGTGTCATTGATAATAAAGGAGATAACATCGGTGCTGTTACTGGGCATCAGCATAGCAATTAGCAATTTAGACAAAAGCAAATGGCGACAAATAAAAAAGTATCTCACTAGCTACTACAATTAATAATCATGCATGCTTGCGCATTTTAAACAAAGACATGACATATACCAACAAGCTTTTACTTGGCACTTACTCTCAACTCTGTTTTCTGAAAGAAAAAAAAATTTATCCAAGCATATGACCAAGACGAAGAACGGACTGCGGAGCAATTATCACTGGTGGTAATTTATATGTAGGATATTGTAGACACCGGTTTTGTGTCTATCATTTTTATTTCAATATAATATTAATAATTTTAATAATAATAATAATAATAATAATTTTAAAAAATAATTATTAATTATTATAAAAAAAATAAAAAAGAGAAAAACAGAAAGTAGGGTGGTTGGCGTTGCAGTCGCCCCCGACTAACCACCTTACAGCCCTCAGACCAACCCCTTGTCTACCCACGCTCACCAGCCTATAGTCACCTATAGCCACTCTACAGCCACCCAGATCCTCTTTTGAATTCATTCAAAAACTTTCAACTTCTTCCCTTTCAAGCTCTCTCTCGGATCCTCTCTCAAGTTCTCTCGAACTCCCCTTTCCGAAAGCTCTTTCGGACACACGAAGAGCGGACCCTTCATCACTGCCCAGTCCCCTTTTCAACAAACTTTTGAATACCCAAAGTCCTAGCCTCTCACACTTAAAAAAACCCAAGCCTCTCATGAAACTTCCTGCCCATCAGAAAACTCAACAAATACCCAAACCAAAGAAAACAAACACAAAAAAACAAACACAGTCCTCGCTAGGCGAGGAACCCAGTGCCAAGCTACCTGTAAAAAATAAAAAAAATAATCATCAGCTTCAGTTCTTTTAAAAAAAAAAAAAAGAGAGAGAGAACAAAAAACTTTGGACCCTGAAATACGCATATCGGGGCCGTTTCAGGCGAAAAAGAGATCGGATCCTGAAAGATCGCGTCGAAAAAAACTTTCAGAAAAATTTTGACATTTTTTGGCGATCGAAAACCACCGACAGCGACTGCAGGCGGTAACTCAGACGGCGATCGGCACGGTGGTCCAGTGCCGAATTTTGGCTGAAGCCAGAGAGCTTTCCAGAACTCTAGACCCTTTTTTTTCTGAGGAAGGTTTGAAATGAGCTAAATTTTTTTTTTTTTTTTATTTTATATAGGAAGCAACAAGCCAAAACGATACCATTTTAGGCTAGGGAGATCCGCGCGTGGACCCGAATCTGAACCGGGATCCGTGCAACTTGACCTATGGACCCGTTCTTCAACATCTGCTGATCGGTCTAATTGAACCGATTTGAACCGGACTGAACCGCTCCTTAGTCGATTCGACTGAGCTACAAGTTGAACCAACCCCTTTTCGGTCCAGCCGAATCGATCGTTGACCGGTTTGGTTTAGGTAAAAAAATTTTGTTTTGAATTTTTGAATTTTTTTATATCATTATTTTTGTTATTTTAAGTATTTTT